TGAGGCTCTGGGTGATGGCATATTTGATCCTTTTCTGCAATTCTGTCAGCATGAGGAGTATAAGGAAGCTGGTTGGTTGGTCCTACTTACATTAGACAAAGTGGTGAAAGAGTGAGATGAGTTCAGGGCTGCTAAGCCTCAAGCACTGCAAAAAAGACCTCAACGTTCCCAGCTGTGCTCTGAAAGCCAGCCTCATTTCTTCTAGCAACAGAGCTGGTATTTCTGAAAACCAAACCAAGAGTCTTACTGTAAGGGTGGCTGAATTACAATGCCAATTGAATTGCCAATCCAGAATGGTGTCTGAGGCTAAAGTGAGGGCACTGATTGGGGAAAAAATGGGATCCTGAAACCTGGAATGGGGACATGTGGGCAGTCAGGAAGATCAGGATACTGAGCCTGTAAATTCTGTTGAATCCCTCCCATTTAAAAGAATAACTATAAAACTATTATCCTTTCCACCTCAGTTTGCTGGGATTAACCCAACTGTTCCTGCTGGGTCATTGCTTGAGGTAGATGCCATAGACGACATTGCTGAATGTTCTCAGAACTGCTCCAACTACCCATTGTTTCTGGTAGTTCTGGGTGGGGCCCAGAACAACAAAAGGCTCTGCAACAGGTTCAGGCTGCCACGCAAGTTGCTCTGCCGCTTGGGCCATATGATTCAGCTGATCCAATGGTGCTTGAAGTGTCTGTAGTAGATAGAGAGTTTGGAGTCTTTGGAGGTCCCTATATGGTGAATCACAATGCAGACCATTGGGATTTTGGAGCAAAGCCCTGCCATTCTCTGCAGATAACTAATCTCCTTTTTGAGAAACAGCTTTTGGCTTGTTACTGGGCTTTAGTAGACACTGAATGCCTAACCATGGGCCACCAAGTGACCATGAGGCCTGAGCTGCCCATCATGAACTGGGCATTTTCTGACTCACAAAGTCATAAAGCTGGATGTACACAGCAGCACTCCATCGCTTAATGGAAGTGGTATATCAGAGATCGGACTCAAGCAGGACCTGAAGGCACAAGTTGTATGAGGGAAGTGGCCCAAATGCCTATGGTCTCCACTCCAGTCATATTACCTTCCCTCTCCCAGTCTGTACTTAGGCCTCATGGGGAGTTCCTTATGGGCAGTTGACCGAGAAAAGAGAAAACCGGTGCCCGCTTTACATATGATTCTGCACAATATGCAAGCACCATTTGAAAGTGCAGTGCAGCCCCTTTCTGGGACTTCCCTGAAGGACAGTGGTGAAGGGAAATCCTCCCAATGGGCAGAATTATGAGCCACACATCTGGCTGTTTACTTTGCATGGAACAAAAAATGGCCAGATTTATGATTGTATATGGATTCATGAGCTGTGGCCAATGACTTGGTCGGACAGTCTGGGACTTGGAAGGTGCATGATGGGAAAATTGGTGGCAAGGATATATGGGGAAGAGGTATGTGGACAGATCTCTGAATGGGCCAAAGGAATAAAGATATTTATGTCTCATGTGAATGCCCACCAAAAGGCGACCTCAACAAATGAGGACTTTAACAATCAGGTGGATAGAATGATATGTTCAGTGGAAACCAGCCATCCTTTTTCCCCAGCTACTCCTGTCATTGCTCAATGGGCTCATGAACAAAGTGGCCATGGTGGCAGGGATGGAGGTTATGCATGGGCTCAGCAACATGGACTCCCACTTACCAAGAATGATTTGGCTACTGCCACTGCTGATTGCCCCAATCTGCCAGCAGCAGAGACCAACACTTGAGTCCACGATATGGAACCATTCCTTGGGGTGATCAGCCAGAAACATGGTGGCAGGTTGATTACATTGGACCACTTCCATCATGGAAAGGACAGCATTTTGTTCTTAATGGAATAGATGCTTATTCTGAATATGGATTTGCCTTCCCTGCATGCCATGCTTCTTCCAGAACTACCATCTGTGGATTACAGAATGCCTTGTCCACCATCATGGTATCCCACTCAGCATTGCTTCAGATCAAGGCACAGCAAATGAAGTGCAGCAATGGCCTATGCTCATGGAATTCACTGGTCTTACCATATTCCAGAAGCAGCTGGCTTGATAGAACGATGGAATGGGCTACTTAAAACACAATTATGGCACCAGCTAGGTGGCAATACCTTGAAGGGTTGGGGCAATGTTCTCCAGAAGGCTGTATATGCTCTAAACCATTGTCCAATATACGGTGCTGTTTCTTCAACAGCCAGAATTCACGGGTCCAGGAACCAAGGGGTGGAAGCAGGAGTGGTACCACTATTAACCATAGTGATCCACTCAAAAAATTTTTGCTTCCTGTCCCTGCTACCCTATGCTCTCCGCGTCTGGAGATCGTAGTCCCAAAAGGAGGAACATTCCCACCTAGAGACACAATACTGATTGCAATGAACTGGAAATTAAGAATGCCAACTGAACATTTTGGCTTCCTCACGCCTCTGGATCAATAGACAAAGAAGGGCGTTACTGTATTGTCTGGCGTGACAGATCCTGATTATCAAGGGGAAATTGGATTGACATTACCTAATGGAGGTAAAGAATAATGTCTGGAATACAGGAGATTCTTTAGGACGTCTCTTAGTACTACCATACCCTGTCATTAAAGTCAATGGAAAATCACAGCAACCCAATTCTGATATGACTGCTAACAGCTCAGCCCCTTCAGGAATGAAGGTTTGGGTCACCCCACCGGGCAAAGAACCATGACCAGCTGAGGTGCTTGCTGAGGGCAAGGGAAATACAGAATGGGTGGTGGAAGAAGGTAGTTCTGAATATCAGCTATGACCAC